TATATATATAGGCCTATATATATATAGACCTATGCAAATTTATTAATAATAACAGTGTTCAAATAGGAACACATTGTAATAATCGTGTAATCGTATCAAGCATGATGCTCATCAACGGCAAGTTCCTTTATTTCAGTTGTATGAAAAACGTGTCTCTGGTGGGATTTGAACCTGCAACCTCTCGCTGTCAAGGCGAGTATCATACCCATTAGACAGAGACCTATATACTGTAGGATATCGTGTACATAGACAGCAGGAAGTCCGGGATTCAAATCCCGGTTGGGGGACATTTTTTCACACTCGCAAATTCCTCAATTTATGTGTGCAAGGCATTACCGCAAGACCATTTAAAGTCTATCCATTCACGTGTTACATTAGCGCATCCAACTGAGCCGAATTTAATGGACCGATATGTCAACACAACAGGTTGGATACATACATTAAGTCATCCCCACTCTCTCTTTCTCTCTCAAGTCCGGCCTCATCACTTCTTTTCAACATTTAAAGACATAATGTTTTCATTTGATGGCGAACCATATCAATCTGTCATGTCGATACACTTTAATCCTCATTTTTTTAGTGGGTTTTTGTTTTTATCGATCATCATGACCGATGTTGACGCATGATGCGAGAGTTGGTAGATCGCAGACCCTACGTTGAGGTGACGTCCTCCTTACCTATGCCTGATCTTTCTTTATACTTTTTTTTCTTTTTAGTTGTACTTAATTGTTCTCGATGATGTTATTTCAGTAGCATCGTGATTGTTATAGATGGGATCTTGCAATGGAAATGAAAAAAATAGGTTTCCTAAATATAAAAGCGTACAATCGATTGCTCTCAAAATGGTTTAGAACGCAAAGATCAGGTGGCAGGTGATAAATAATTGTTTATAGATTATTTGATTTGTAAAGCATGATGAAACATTGTCCAACGTAGGTCTACAGTTGTTTCGAGAGAAACAAAAAAAAGTTATCTGATCAGACAGAATGCAAACAAGTCAAAACGAAGTGATTAGTTATCAAAATCTTAGGTCCACTGTCCCATATTGGACAAACGCAATTTGCTGAAATAGGTGTATTTAAATGTTCAAGACAGAGTCAAATCTCTTCGACTGTGTCACTTTTTTAAAATTTCTCAAAATATTTGTCCCGTATATTTAAAAGAAAACTTTCCTTTTAAAAATTATAAAACAAGAAATATCTCTCTTAATTATAGAATACCATACATTACTTCAGTGGCATTTAATAATTTCTTTTAATAGGCCTAATGCAATAACAAATTGGAAACTCCATGCCTTTGGAAATTAAATCTTGTCAAACCTTTAATACATTTAAAATAAAACTTAAAAATTACCTAAATAACTGTACTGCAGGTGCGGAATGTGGTGTTAT